TCACACATGTGAAACTTCATCCATTGCTAGTAAGTATATATATTAGTCACAATGGTTTGCTGACTAGTGTGTTGCTTTGGCTGACTTGTTAAACAAAACGCTAGAATGACATGCTCTGTTGATTCATCTCTCTCCCCTCCTTCCAGGTGTTATTCTCAACTGAATATGAAAATTATGCTTTCTTCCACAATTCCTTGTACCTTTTGTTGAAGATTGTTCAATTCCAGACCTGACATAGTTTTCTGATTGCTTACAATGTGCTTCATGAGTTTCTACAAATGGTATAAAATTTAAGGATAAAGGAGTTTTCAAGAAATAAAAATCAATTTAGATAGAAGGTCTGTGTGGAATAATCTGTACTTGACATTAATATATTATGCATCTATTGCATTACATTAAAAAAAAAATCACAGTGAGGAGCAATTGGTATGTGGAAAAAGTTAATTTCTGAAAAAAATGCACAAAGACATCATGAACTATCACCCCATCATACAGGTCAGCTAGATTCCAGATTTTTCAACCAGGAGTCAGTGAATGTATTTCATTTACATTATTATCAGACTTGCCTTGATGCCCTGCTGGGACATATCACCAGTATTTTCAATCCAATACAGACTGAAGGGTTGTTAAATACCAATAGCAGAGTTGTGGTGCAGGAGACAGAGGTCACTTTGAACCCAACAGGTTGGTCAGGAGATCAGAACAGAGATCTTTTAGGGGCCAAATTAGAATGTGACTTTTCTCTTTCTACCTACCGTGGGAAACATTGTTCATTAAACCCTTTGAAAATGTGCTAGTCTATTTATTTTCATTGTCCCTGAGGACGTGGCCCGTTAGCCAGACTGCCTGCAGATAAGACTGGGGAAAAGTGCTCTCAAGCTACAAGAAAACCCATGGATCCAGGTTTTGGGCAGGAGTGCTGGGATAACAACAAGGGGGGAGCAAGAACAGTATTGCCACAACTGTATTTACAAATTAGTGGAAATTGTGAACAACGGTGGGATGTCTCCTGCTGTGATCAGACACAGAGAAAACCAGCCAGCCAGCAAGGAGAGGTGCCGTGCCTCGAGGTAGCCCAGACAGCACCCAGCACAGCAAAATGACTTGCTCCAGCTCTGCATGAAAACAGTGGCCAGTACAGTTCTGCTCCTGCAAGGATGCACCAGCTGAGGAGCCCATGAGCAGGACACGTGCCACAAGGGTGATGGCTCTCTGAACACCAAAGCCCTCCTCCGGGGTTACTGAGGGTTGAGATTTGCAGGTTTGGTGGTGGGGACCCCAACACAACAGCCTGGTGAGTGAGGGAAATAACACATCCAACAAGGAGACAGGCTAGCTCTTGCTAAGATACCCGCTGTTGAAATATCAGATTTCTCAAGAAGGAAATGAAAACCCATTTTCTTAGTGACAGAGAAGAAACATGTGAATCCAGGAGAACGTTGATCAGGAAATACATGCTTATGAACAAGAGCTTAGTGGTGTGAGAAAAGATACAACGGGAAGAAAAAAAAAAAAAAAAAAAAAAGATTGCAAAGATGTTTGGAGACATGGGAATGCTACTGGTGGAAAGAACATTGATATGAAACCTATTTATTTTAAAGATAAAGACAGGGCTGATACAAAGCCCATTTAATTTTGTTTTGCTTTGAATCACCAGTAATGATAGACATACACTGAGAAATGAGTGATGACTTGAAGTCAACATCTGATTAGGTTGAGATCTGTGAGGTCCTCATCACTGGCATTTCTGATCTCTCACAACAGATGGATAAGAAAACTGAAAAGTGGCCCAACAGACTGAGAATGATAAAAGGAAGTATTTTGGGTTTACATTGCACATCAGTAACCTTTTTAAGCCACTCCTGCAAAGTACACTCAGGAGCAGGGACTTTATGGATAGAGAGCAATCGTAGACCAAGCACATGCTTTACGCTGCAAGTCAGTGTCTATACTCAGAATCACTAAGTGTTTGTGGTTCAGAAAAGCTTTTCTAATAGCCAGCATATAATGTAATCATTCCTGTTGAGATATGCAACACTTTTCACTGAAGCAGATAGCACTGGCACTTGGGGGCAAAGACGTAGGAATGTGGTATAGCAGTGGACATTGCAGCACAGAAAAATGTCTGTGTCCCCAGGAAAACCATATTTTACCCAAATAACTGTTTTCTGTCAATGATAGTGGAATGACAGAGAAGATACCACCTGCTTTGAGGAAAGAGACCTTGTGAGATTAGTTAGCCCTTCTCCTGCCTGGGGAAAAGCAGCTGTATCCACACCTGATAGATGTTTTCAAACTCATTCTGAAAAATCACCAACAAGAGTCAGTAGTCTCTTAGAAAATTGTCCCAGTCTTTCCCTATCATCACATGAGATGGCATGTTTGAAAAAATAAAAAAAAATAAATACCTCCTCCAGCTATTTTCTCAGTAGTGTTTCCAAGCATTGTTACAACACAAAGTACAGTCAATGATAATTAAATGGGTAACCTAATACTCTGAGGTAAGAGCAAGAAAGTCTAGATAAGTTTCTAATGGAATTTCTTAACATTAGGACTTCTAAGCTTCTCTTCTGATTCATTAAGGCTCTGTGCCTTCTAGACTCTCTGATATACAGAATTTCAGGAAGAATGATATCTCCAGAAGGCAGCAAAGGGAAAGCAATTTTTTGATCAGCAGCTAATATCAGCAATAAATATAGGGCAGCTTCTGCTGCTTCTTAACATAAACCTTTCTAAGAGGCTGAATAGACTTTGCATTTCCTTAATGGAGGTACATTTTTTCAATTTAAACTCTTATGCAAGTGAAATACTGCTTTCATTGATGATCACAGTAGGAAATCAATTCAGTATTACACATTGTGAAATAGATCCCATAAATTGCCTTAACTCCTTGATTGCAAAGCAAGTCTGAAAACTCACACAGCTGAGGCTCTGTGTCTCTATTTAGACAGCAGACAGCATTCTGACTGCCACCTTGCAAACAGAGCAAGTGAGCTGGCAGTAAAGATAAGACAGAGAGATCTGTTGACATCAGATTAATACAGCCATTTATTTCTTGATAGTATTTGATTTTCAGAAGCTCTTGAGAATTTGGAGTTCAAATCTCTGAGATTCATTATATACTGTACTGTACAAGGTCACTCACGTCACTGACAATTTTATGGATAATAGCTCTTGCTGTCAGATAGTGTTCAATATGTGCAAACACAGGTTGAAAACTACATTAATTTCTGGATCTAACATTGCAAGTCCAATCTCATGAACTTCTGGGAGCACAATTTGTCTCACTTGCACTGAATTAATTGTAAGAAAGTACGGGAAGCATTAGACCTATGTCTGAGAGAGGGAAACTGTTGCGGTGAAATTACGGGATTAGCATCAAACCAGAGAAGCTGCTGCTGCTGGATCAGGGACAGGAGCTCAAAGGCTGCTGGAAACCAGTCCCATATCCAGGCTCCAATGGGCCAATTCCCCCTGACTTAAGATGTATGGGCAGTGAAAATTGGTACCAGCATGCATTGCTCATAATGAAACCACTACATCTCATAGCTTGAAAATGAGTCATCAGCTTCTTGGACCTGTGAAGTTGAGCTAAGTGGAGACAGACTCTCCTTTTAACTCTACTTCCCATTTCACTACAACTAGCGAAACACCATTGTCTGTCTCATGGCAGACGTTTACCAAAACTGAGGTCTGAAGAAACATTTCTCCCCTCAGAACAACCTCCATATGAAAACTTTTACAGAGCCACGCAGGCATTGCACCAGTCACTGGATCCCTTGTTCCTCAGCTTAAAGAGGCACACGTTTTTATCTCTACTGAGTCCAAGCTACTAACCCTGACGATATTTAAACTAACACCACAATGGCCAAAGTCATAATACTCTAAGAATCCCTTCCCTCAGCGAGGTAATAAAGGCCTCTAGAGTAGGGGACAAGGGAGCAGACAAGTCTGCAAACTTGTCCCCCTGGTGAATAATATCCAAAAGAGAACTTTTGAGTGATGTACAAACATCCCTAGGGGCCCTGCTTCTCTCCTGCTCTACAGTCCAAGGACTTATCATGAGAAATGTCAAAGCATGAAAAGCCCAAAGAGCAGTAACTTATTCCTTTGCTTTTCTTCAAGCCTTGCAAAGGACAAACAGTGAAAGCTGACAAACTGTACCTGTGAAAACATTTGTAGTTCTGTCCTGGAATTAAGCTAAGAAAAAATTTTCACATAATGAGCACATCCAGATCTTAGGTGATATAGCTTAGGAGGGATATTTTTAGAAGTGATTAAGGGTTTTTTAAGACTTTCCCATATTTTTGTGGGCTTACTCCAAACCCCTGCACCTGGTAACATCATGATTTAGTAACATCACTTGCACTTCAGGGGACAAGATGTGTTAACGTTGAGGGCAGCTGGGCTCAGGGCAAGGGGACATACAGTGGCTGGACAGCCGGAGCCTGCTGGAGATTGCTATGGCTCCACCAGACTATAGGAAAGAGATGGCAGGATGCGAAGTCAAAGCTGACAAAAGATGTGCAATATCATATATATGGCTGATGTTGGGCACTGAAGGCCTTCATTCTCACTCTAGCAGAAGAATAGCAGCCACTACCTTGATTTTGACAGTGAGATTGGATAGACAAGAGGAAGAAGCTGCACAGTTACTACATAAAAAAATATAAGACTAAATGCAGGGGAAGCCTCTGTGCGTGTCTGTGGGTGGGTGGAGGTGCACATATGTATCTACAAACACATGTCAGTTGAGCTGTTCATGTACTACAACTTCTCAGGCTGGTGTAAGTGAATGTGGCAATAGACTGTGAGGGAAATGTAACCATAATATCATTCACTGTCTGTGAAAAGGTGCTTTCAGTTTGCACTGTCACATAGCAGCTAATGCTTGGTATCCACAGTAGACAGTAAATGATGTCTTTGATTTTTTTTCTTTGATATAATAAATTTGCAGTAAACAACCATTTGTTCCTCTTTCTTTTCCAGTATAAAGATAGTCACAGACTTATCGATAAAGGAGAAAGTTCTCAAGTGGCTCGGGCAGGTGTAGCTTGTGGACTGCATATAGGCATGACCGACCCAGACGCTGTCTGATACACAACCGGCACAGCTGGGTAAGGCTGGCAGGACCTGGGAAAAAAAAAAAAAAAAAAAAGGACAAGAACAAGCACCCCCCAACCCCACCACAGGTATAAGTCAGAAAGCAACAAACACCAGCAAGATTTGCAAATCCAATCAAGCACTACACAATGACTTGCTGAAGTCAGGGAGTGCTAAATACATTATCGCTCATATTTAATTTGTTGTCAAAGTTGGTTCAGTGATTTGAAAACTATAAGCACTAAAAACCTTTTTCTGCATTCATGGCTAGGCTTTTCTGCATCTTTTCTTGAGCAAATACCATAAAGGTGTCTGCACTGGAGAGAGAGTGCCAGGATGCACAGCCCTTGCTCTGGATATAAGACAACTCCCAGCAGTGTTGTGAGCATAAAGTCAAGAGGGATTACGGGGAGCTGCAGGGATGCTCAGTGTGGACCAGCCATAACTGGGTGGATACAGGAAATACAGTTAGCTGTTAATATATACAGGACGTGTTTCTTCTAACTGCTGGTGTCTCAGCACAAGTCGTGACTGCAACTTTGCCTTTTTACATGACCCCACTGTCTCTGAATATTTATGCATGTCAGTCAGTCTATCAGTGCTCCTCAAAATAATTTCTTAATGTGTCATCCAATTTTAATTAAGTCTGACAGGAGAAAATATCTTCAAGATAGAAAGTCTCCAAAAGTTTTGTGAAAAAAGGCACCTAGGGTAAAAAGACTTAAAAAATAATTAAAAAAAAAAAAAAAAAGAGAGACCTTTTTGCCCTCCCTTGTCTTGGGGGAAAGGTGGAAAACTCTTGTTAAACACTGGAGAGTCCAGCGGCCGGGAAGCTGACTGAGGACTGGCAGGGGTGGCGGTGAGGCGGGCGCGGGCAGTGGCTGGCACGGTGCTGCACGCAGCGGTGCTGCCCCGGTGGCTTCCCCACAGGGTGGCCAGGCAGGTGCCAAGGGGCACAAACCCACTGGAAAGGAGGCTCCGTTGTTTCTGCCGCTGCGCCCTTGCATGTGCAAATGCAACTTGGTAGTGAACAAGTCCCTGCCTCCCCTTCGCTTTCCTCTTGCTCGAGCTGCTCCAACTTGAACGTTCACGCCTGATCGGAGGTGTTCAGTTTTGGAGCCTTGTCTCAGCCCTGCCCCTCCAGTTTCTGGCCAAACAGTAGCGATCACAGCAGTGTTTGGCAAGCAAGGGGTAGAGATGTGTGCTTAAAAGCCTGCTTTTATATATTCCATGAAAGCTTCATAATCTGCGCTTTTACTACAGGAAAATTTAGGAACCTAAACAGGCTGATAATGGCCCCTCTGAGAAGAAATTAATAGAAAAATATGGGTTGTATAGAAAAGACCACTTGTACTACTGTCACTGGAAGTGAAGAAAGAAGCTACCACCTCCCAAAGCAGTTATGAAAACAGAAACATTTTATATTTCACATCTCTTAATAGCTAGGAAGATAAGCGTTTAAAGGGAACCATCTAAGTAACCACAGCAGAAATGTCAGGGAGTAGAAAGAAAACTCTTCAACCTGGGGTGCTTATTTGAAACAGAAGGACCTCAGAAAACACAGAAGTAGGGGAAAAGGACAGTTGCAAGTGTTAGATAGCGCAAAATATCTAAAGGGATTGAAGAGAACAAAGGGACTGAATGGACAGGTGAGGAAACTGAGGAAACTTCATTTCTGAAAAGTGAAGAGCCAGCAGGAGCTGAAGTGCTCTTATAGTCCCTCTGACTGTAAGGGAGGAGAGGGTGACAAGCTGAAAGTAGAAATCAGAAACAAAGTTCAGGAAGGGGAAAATGATTAATATTGGGATATATCGTTAGTTACAGAAACTCTCATTCACACAGGGTGACTGGAGAAGGACAACTGCAAGTACTGCCTCTGCTCATGCAGCCTGACATTGCTGAGCCCTGAACATCTTAGATACGGAGACAGAAGTCACAAGAGGTGTGAAGCATTCAGGCAAAAATCCTCCCAGAAGGTTTTAGACAGGACAAATTAAAGATCTGCATGAAAAGTCATGGAGAAAGGGAGCAGGACAGAAGGTTATTAAGCCAATATTTAATTTCCTCCATGAAATACACCTGCATGCAGAGGGCCAGCACAAAACCTATGTACAACATTGACAATATTAATTTACCATCCGTGAGCTATTTTGCAGCTGCAGGCGGGCTCTCTGTGCGCACCGTGCTTTGCTCCTTGTTGGGGAGCGAGCAGGCTGCCTGCACGGGGGGGGAGCACCATTCACCCTCCATGTTAGCAAAGCCCTGGTGGGACATAGACTGACTAATAGGGTACCAGTGATCTGGAAAACACGGAGATTAGAGGAGGAGGGCACTTAATTCAGCATGTCCATATACCAGGCGTATTGCCATTGGATGCATAAAGCTCTGGTTATATGTGGTGCAGGTGGAAAAAGCACAAGAGGATCTAGATTAATTTCTGCTCAGGAGTCTCTTCCAATAGGCTGGAAATATAAATAATTGTAGGAAAGAGAAAAGTAAGCTGCAAAGGGCACTGCTGGTTCATGCTCGTGTTGCAGCCCCAGGAGCCGCACGGAAGAGCTGCGAGCCGTGAAGCCGAAGAGCCACCTGGCAAATAGCTCTGCTTTCTCCTGGCGACCAAGGGCACGCACACTCGTGTCATTTTTTCTGCAGGAAGCAGGACATTGAGCCACAGTGCTAGGCTGAACACAAGATGGTGATAGTAAAATATTATCTATGAATAAACTCTCACGGCAGTTTTTAATCCTTAGAGTCCCGATAGGTAAATATGTATAATTTTCCTTCAGTAGACAGGAAAAGAAAGCATACAATAACTGACCAATCTATCCACTAAGACACTTGGTGGCAGATCTAACAACAAAGCAGATATCTCTTACTCATTTCTGTGTCATGTGCTGCAGGTTTGAAATTGGTAGAGAAGATAAGAGAACTTATATAGAACATTACTTATAAAAGCAGTTAAGAAAATGTAATTAGGTAGAGTAAATAAATACTGTTCTACTTAAAAAAAAAAAAAAAAAAAAAGAAGAAAGGAAACCATTACCTTCCCGAAGCAGAAGCGCCTGCTCCACTTTGCTGTTGGGTACAGCAAGATCCAGGGCACATTTGAGTTCAGCATTTCGGCATTTTAGGTTAGCACCATAGTCTGTCAGCAAGACGACTACCTCCACACTGGATTTCCTTGCTGCTGCATGGAGGGGAGTGTCTAATCGCTTCCCCATGTTAACGTTGGCTCCTTGAGCAAACAAGAATGCATGGTTAGACCTGGGAAGCAGCAGGAACTCTCCAAACCTGCATCACATGGGCTGGTTTCCACCAGTAGCCTCAATAAATGAAGGGGATGGATGGCAAGGCCTCTCTCATTTCTCTCAATAGCAGCAGTGCAAAACTCAGTGGGTCAAATATCTGCTGTGTAAAAGCCCTCTGAGCCACTGAACCCTGTCTGCGATGGACAGAACTTGGTCAAGCAGCTTGACCTTCAACCCAATAGATGTTCAAAGCCTACCATATGCTCTGTAAATTTGTTAATAACATAAAAGCTAACAGAGATTATGTTAATATAATTACCGGGGTTAAAATAAAAAAGAAAAAAGAACAACAAAAAAAAACCCCAAACACCCTTAGGTATCACATTGTAGTAACTCTGGGAGCATAGCAAGCGAAGGGCTTGCCCTAGTCACGCCAGGCACAGCAGGGCCACAATTCAAGCAGGTATAAGTCAGCCAGTGTATACTGACAGCAAAAATTTATGCTAGCTCATAGGCTGTGCCTGGACCTGCAGTAATTATACTTTCAAGCAGCTTTACTGCCGTCTTCATCATCCACTGAGAAGGAGGTGAAGTTAATGCTTAGCATGGCAGTTTATTGTAATCAAGAGTTGATTTTGGTCACTAACATTAACCAGCATTGTCTGTGCTTCCTGTCATTGTTCTAGAAAACTAGAAGTATTTTATTTTTACATTCCGACAGTCTCAGGGAAGTTTCTGTAATTAAGGTTTTTTTTACTGAGGAAATCATAAATTCTTCATCAATGCAGGTAAAACTTTTAATAGGCTCATACGAGTATCACAGTCATGGGCTGCCCGAACACCTCTTATGGAAATAACACGCGATGTCTGCAGTGGAGAGGCAGCCCAGAGAGACCAGCAGCAATGTCTCACACCACCATAGCTCTCCCCTGGACCCTTTTCCATGTGTACCTAGCTCCAAAAGCTTCTTGACACAGTCTGTTCTCTGGTATGTACAAGCCACGTAGAGTGGGGTCCCATGCTGCAGGTCTTCTTGGTCAATGTCAACCTCATGGGCCAGAAGGATCTCCATGCACTCCCTGTGACCTGTGGAGAGAATCACCACCGCTGAAGTGCTGTAGAGCGGAACACACCCAGAGACAATCAATGAGGCACAAGAGCTGGGAATAAGCCAAGCCCATTTATCCATACCAGTACAGACAAGATTTTAACAGAAAAATATTTTAACATCAATAAAAGAATATTTCCTCATTCAGTTATTGTTAGCTTCACTCACAGCCTGAACGTTACCTCTCTTGACTGCTTCATGAATGGGCGATGCAAGGTGGTTCCTGAGCTGTGGCTTGGCTCCGAATTCCAGCAGCATGTTGACACAGGCCACGCTGCCACTGCAGCAGGCATTAAATAGAGGAGTGATCCCATCGATGGTGATGGCGTTGACCTGGAACAGCAAGACACACTCAGGATAATCTGATTTAAGAGGAACGCCCTTGCGGCGTGCCTCATGTGCACAACAGAAATGCACCAGAAAAAGACGCTGGTCTTGTTTAATTTCAGAATCAATTTTATTAACAACTGTCAGAGTTGTATGTTGTGATACAGCATATAAAACATCCTCGTTTGAGGTCTGCCCTCTTTCCCGGATAGTTAGTGCCATAAGGCAGCAATACTGCCTGCTATGAATGCTCCTCCTAGACTTGCTCAGAAAATGTAGGTTTAAGTTTTTCTTATGTGGAGAACTTGACTATCTTCATGACCATCTAGTCTGCACCAATCCAAAGCCAGAATATGCTCAAATGAAAATAGCTTTGCTTTTTAAATGAAAATATTTACTTCATGTTTACTACTGTCCTGTGTTTGAGTGAGTGGTGGGTTTTTTTGGTAGCAGGGGAGGGGGCTATAGGGGTGGCCCCCTGTGAGAAGATTCTCAAAGCTCCCTCAGCTCCAAGTCAGCTCCACCTCTGCTCGAAAACTGAGCCCATCAGCTGCACCTCTGTGATAACGTATTTAAGAAGGGACGTGGTGACGAGCAGTGGGACTTGTGAGGAGGAGTTGCTGCAGCTGCGTGAACACCAAGGTCAGTGGAGGAACGGAGGAAGAAAGGAGGGGGGAGGTGTGCCAGAGCAGAGACACCCCTGTATCCTGTGGTGAGACGGCAGGGCAGGCCCCCCCCTGCCACCCATGAAGATCTACGGTAGAGCAGACACTGATTTATGGCCTATGTTTTTCGCCGGGATGATCAAGGTGCTGTGCCTGAAGAAGGCCGGGGTCTTGTGGGAAAAGGTAGCCCTGCTGCTGTAATTCAGCGCTGGGAGGATTGCAGCATGTGGGGGAGTCCCATGCCGGAGCAGCTCAGGAAGGGCTGCAGCCTGTGGGAGGGAATCCAGTTGGAGAAAGTTGGTGTCCCACGCTGGAGCAGTGTAGGAAAATGCTGCGGCACGTGGGAGGGACTCATATCGGAGCAAGTTTGTGGAGGACTGTCTCCTGTGACAGAGAGACCACGCTGGAGCAGGGGGAAGAAGTTCCAGAAGCTCCCCCCACTGAAGATAAAGGAAGTGGCAGCACTGACTGCACCCCCCATTCCCTGTCCCTGTGCCACTGGGGGAGGAGGTAGAGATATCGGGAGCAGAGCTGAGCCTGGGAAGAAAGGAGGGGTGGGGGGAAGGTGTTTTCAAGATGTGGCAATGCTTCTTACTGTCCTAGTCTGTTAAGTGTTGTTAGTGTCTGCAATAAATGCATGTTCTTTTTTTTTCTTCCCCTAATGAGTCTGCCTTCTGCCCGTGACCATAATGGGTTACTTGTCCCTCCCAGTCCTATCTCGAATACCAAGTCCGGCTCATTTGTCCCTTCTCATTGCTGGAAGAGAAGGGGAAGTGAGTGGCTGCGTGGTGTTTGGCTGCCGACCAGGCTCAAACCACAACTACTTTCACCTGAAAACAAATTTCCAGCAAAAGAAGTTTTCACGGAAACATAGTCTTAATCCCAAACAGAAAAGGAGCTTGAAAGAGTTTGTATTCACATGCATGTGTGTGTATGTATATGTGCAAGAGAGAAAGAATTTCCTTCCTCCACTCCCTATGTAAAGACCTGGCAAGAATCCCTGTCTGTCATTCTCCACTGGGACAGGAGAGTGTCTGGCTTGTGTCATGCAAAGCACCGTAACTGTTATGTTTAACTACGCAGCAAGCCCTCAGAGGCAACTTATGCAGCAAATCTGCATGTCTTTAATTCTGTGGCACACTGGAGAAGAGCAACGGATTATGCAAGCATGTGGCAATTTGTGCTGTTTCCAAATCAGGGAGAAGAGGCAAGAGACGGAAGAAGAAGGGCTAGGGAAGTCCTGGGCCACCGGGGAAGTTGGAGGACTTATTTGCCAGTGAAAACACAGAAGCTGTATTGCAAAGTAGTCGGAGCACCAGGGTAGAAATACCTTAGCTCACACAATTTAACTAGCAGGATATTTTGCCTTTAAAGCAGAGAAAGGCAGTGACTTTTAAGAACCTATTGGTCTCTTCTGGGTAATTCAGCAGTGGACCATCTGCAGTTGATACCTTTCTAGATACCATTTGTTCTTGTTCATTTGAACTACTGACTTGTTTACGATGCTGCTTGAATCAACCCCTTTTCCCACAAGGTGCTTTTCCCCAAAATTACAAGCCAGTCCTTGACATTTCCAGTCTTTCAGTCCTTGCCATCTTCAGCAGCAGGCTCCAACCGTGCAGCAGCCAGTGTGAGGCCATGCTCCCCCACCCAAAGCTGCACTTGCAGATCGGGCAGGTACACTGGAGAAGGCAGCCCCTCCTCCTTGGTGCCTCCTCTGCTTGCTCACCTTCATGGAAAACCAGTGGGGGAAATGGACCTGGCTGGAAAATAATCATGGCAGGGCCAGGAGATCAGCAAGCTGGCATGGTGTGGGGGGATACCAGGTACCACAGCACAGAGGACATCTGTCTGCTCAGATTTTGGAGCCCAAAATGCAGCTTGCTCTTCCTGAAATTGCAAGGCTCCAACTAAGACTCTGTTTCAACAGCAGCATCACTACAGATCCCAGCCTCTTCCTTGATCTTCCTCCCCTCCTGCTAACTGTTGAGCTAAACTATCTCTCATTCTGCACAGCTTCTAAAACAGTAAAAAGGAAGAAATATATATGCCTTGAGGGTATCTGTGCTTCAGACAGATTACATGCTGCAGACCAGCATGCCAGCATTGCTGCCCGCCTCCCCCTGGTCTCATCAGGCAGATGTGGCTGGAGCTACTGGAGGCACTGGGGATCTATCAGCATCATTTCATAACAGGGCCAGCGGTTTAGGCAAGCTGATAACCAAGGGTAAGCAAGGAGGTAAGTGAAGAAGTAAAATTACTCCTTTGGTTTCCCTCTCCACTGGGCATTGGTTTAACTGGTAGAAGAGGAAAGAATGGTAAGACAGCTGTTTTGGAGTAAATGGTTTGGCAAAAAAAAGGAAATAAAGAAGAGCACAGAAAGAAAGGAGAGCAGTAGAATGGCACATTTTCTCCCAGAAGTTAGACAAGTGCCTGTTGACTTTATTTATGAACAGAGAGCAGGGGGAAAGCAAAAACCAAAAATGATCGGAGCTATATATTACTCCAGGAATAGGCCGATTTCTCAGGAAAGCAACAAGTAGTTCAGACATGATTCTCTGAGTTATAAAAAGACAATTCAATTAATAGACCAAAATCAAGTAAAGCTGAGCAGAGAGGGGTTTTCCTTTAATCTTTCTAAGGGATTTACGTTTGGCATACAGTTTAGGAAGTTAACAAATATGGGTTTTTTTCTGTAGAGGATAGCTTGATCGCCTGTTTTAGTGTTGCTCAGATTCTTGATAAATAAATTGTACTTGAAAACCGAGCTGAATGAAATATATTCTTACATATTTCATCCATTCCTGCATGTCCATTGTTAACATGTATTCTACCTTAGGTCCAACTGGGGGAAATGTTATTATATTAGCAGATAAAATGTTTCATTATTTCAAGAACATCTATTTTTACTTACGTGAGACATCCCATAGAAAACTGGAGGCAATCTCAGTGATCGTTATGGAGGGGAAAAAAGAAGGATAAGTAGTTTTCTTCGAGGTTATTTTCACCTAGCGTCTCTCATTTCTTTTCCATCAACTGTGACTGTTTCAGATGGAACACAAAACCAGAACAACGGGGTGACCCGAGCAGCCAGCGGGGAAGGCAAATACATCACCCACAGAGACAAAGAACTGTTTTATCTTTCCCCGTTCCTGCCTGAGATGCTCCTGTCCGTCTGCACCCCGGCCGTGCCGCGCGGGCAGAGCCCATCCGACATCCCCGCTGCCACAGGGAGCACCCCTGCTCCAGGCTCCCGCGTCCCCGCCGGCCTCGCGGCACCCACCTGAGCTCCATTCTCCAGCAGCACCTTCGCGCAGGCGACGTGGCCGCCCAGGCAGGCCTCGTGGAGAGCCGACACACGGTCCGTCGTCACCAGGTTCACGTTGAAACCCTGCAACACAGGGTGGGGGGCGTGAGGGGAAAGCCCTGCCCGAACCTTGCGGCTCCCCCGGGGCTGGTGTGGGAGCAAAGGGTGGTCAGACCGTGGCGGGGGAGAGACACGTCACCAGGTGCGTGTCCAGGGAAGGTGCGTGGGTTGGATTAATGCTGGTCAGTGCTTTGGTGCTCGTCCCCAACAGCGGCAGCTGGTGATGGGGTTAAAGAGGAAGCAAGGACAAGCTTTGCCTTCTATTTCTAGTTCTTTACAATGCACAGACAATTGCAGGAAAGACATTGCATTTCTTTAATTATGAGGGTGGCATATATTGGTAATATGATGCTCCTAAGCCAGCACCAGGAGCTACAACTGGTGGGCTTCACCTCCCCGAACAGGGACACCTCTGGCATGAGTATCAGCAGCTTGGCTGGAGCCCTCAGCTCCTTCAGTGGAGAGAAACGGGCTCCCCTAGGGTAGGATTCATCCTGTGCTAAACCAGCTGTTTCTAGTAGGTCAAATTAATTCTGTCCTAAAGATATCTCCACTGACTGTAAGGGGTACCCATTGTATTTTTCTCAGAGGTAGCAAGTACCTGGTAAACCCTTAAGATAGATGCGACAAATCCCACCCACGAATCAGTTCCTCTTATTCGACCATGCAGAAAATGTTTTACACTGGAAGAAAGAACTGCTGCCTTATTACAGGCATTTCCATAAATTACAGTTCTTACATCTATTCCTGCACAAGCAGAAACAAGACATATTCACAAAGGAGAAAGCAATCATGATGTATGTTTTCCCCAGAATGTAGCTGAATGTCCTGGTAACTAAGATTTCACCACCACGTGTGAGAACAGGTCTGGAAGCAGATCCATTTTCCGCTTGATGTCTTGTGTTTTGTAACACCGTTGGTCTCTACCTGATGTGCTGTAAACTCGGAAGCTCACAAGATGGCAGCAATGCACTTTTTTTGTAGGCAGTAGCAAATGCAATGGGTAGAAATAAGTCTCTGTGAGCAATGTAACACTGTAAAAGTCACCAGTCCCCATGCAATGAACATTAAAAGCAACCACTGTACCCACTTTAAGATAGAAATTCTATGATAGAAAAATAATAGCTTTTCAGTTACATGAAAACATTATTAATGTAAAAGCTGTCGCTAAAAATTTCCCATACATTATATCAGTGCCAGGGGAATAGATAAAACCTTGAAAAAATGTTGTTGTTATTCTATTTTCTAATTGTAGACGTGTCTCATACTTAATGATCAGCATATTCCTTCAAGGAAAATGTCTTCTAGATAATCCCAATAAGGAGAGCTATTCATAGAACCATACAATCATATTCTCAAGCATTATTCAGATATATATATTTTAAAAATGAAACTCAGACATTGCAAATGAAAGGCAAAACAGCAATCCCTCCCATTATGAAATGGAGATTGAGTTATAGATCTTACTATCGCTGTTTGCCAAACACTGCTCATATTAAACCTTGTTTTCAGGTGGTTATAAACTCTTTCCAATATATCTGAAAAATCAGGTTTTTTTCATTGGTGGAGTTATTGAGTTCTTTTAAAACTCCAGCACTCCACCGTCCCCTTATATCCAGGCATCTCCTGGGAAGCAGAAGACTCAATGGATTTCATGAAAGCTGTGGTCCTATGACAGACACTTCCTTCCTTTCCTCCCTCCCTCCCTCCCTCCCTCCCTCCCTCCCTCCCTCCCTCCCTCCCTCCCTTCCTTCCGCCCTTCCTTCTGCCCTCCCTCCCTCCCTCCCTCCCTCCCTCCCTTCCTTCCGCCCTTCCTTCCTTCCGCCCTTCCTTCTGCCCTCCCTCCCTCCCTCCCTCCCTCCCTCCCTCCCTCCCTCCCTCCCTCCCTCCCTCCCTCCCTCCCTCCCTCCTTCCTTCCTTCCTTCCTTCCTTCCTTCCTTCCTTCCTTCCTTCCTTCCTTCCTTCCTTCCTTCCTTCCTTCCTTCCTTCCTTCCTTCCTTCCTTCCTTCCTTCCTTCCTTCCTTCCTTCCTTCCTTCCTTCCTTCCTTCCTTCCTTCCTTCCTTCCTTCCTTCCTTCCTTCCTTCCTTCCTTCCTTCCTTCCTTCCTTCCTTCCTTCCTTCCTTCCGCCCTTCCGCCCTTCCGCCCTTCCGCCCTTCCGCCCTTCCGCCCTTCCTTCCGCCCTTCCTTCCGCCCTTCCTTCCTTCCTTCCGCCCTTCCTTCCTTCCTTCCGCCCTTCCTTCCGCCCTTCCTTCCGCCCTTCCGCCCTTCCTTCCGCCCTTCCTTCCGCCCTTCCTTCCGCCCTTCCTTCCGCCCTTCCTTCCGCCCTTCCTTCCGCCCTTCCTTCCTTCCGCCCTTCCGCCCTTCCTTCCTTCCTTCCTTCCGCCCTTCCTTCCTTCCTTCCGCCCTTCCTTCCTTCCGCCCTTCCTTCCTTCCGCCCTTCCTTCCTTCCTTCCGCCCTTCCTTCCTTCCGCCCTTCCTTCCTTCCTTCCGCCCTTCCTTCCTTCCGCCCTTCCTTCCTTCCTTCCGCCCTTCCTTCCTTCCGCCCTTCCTTCCTTCCTTCCGCCCTTCCTTCCTTCCGCCCTTCCGCCCTTCCTTCCGCCCTTCCTTCCTTCCGCCCTTCCTTCCTTCCACCCTTCCTTCCTTCCACCCTTCCTTCCGCCCTTCCGCCCTTCCTTCCGTCCTTCCTTCCTTCCGAGTGTTCCACACATACTCTAAAATATAGCTCCATATTTAATTTTAGGCTAGTAGTGTAACTATATTAGAGGCAATGAGCAATAATTATGCTGCTCCATGAATAGCTTTGTCCCTACATTTATCAAGCTGTGGTGAATCAGCTCCAATTCAGCCTCTACAGACATTGTTGCCTTGATCTCTTTTCATCAGCAAGGACCCTCATCCTTCACTCCCAAAATTAAATGTCTTCAGAGAAGGAGAAAGGGTAGATTAACTAAATGATATATAACCCCCAAACCAGGTGCTTCTCCATTGTATAACCATAACCAGTATATAATTGGGGCATCTAGTACATAACCACAACACCGAGTGCCCCACAAATAAGGTGATGTAAGATCAGCATAAATGGAGATAGAGGGGGTCAGAAAACCAGCAAAGCCCTGTTTGAATAAGCCCTTTCCCTTCTTATCCCTAACTTCCATCACTTTCTTCTCCATAAAAAGCATTTGATATCAGCAGGTGAAGCAAAGAGGGATCAGGAAATGGGAGGGGGAACACTGGCTGTAACTGGCAACCTCTTTTAGCTGCAGCCGTGCCTCGACAGATGTCTGGAGTGGAGGCTTCCACACTGGCAGCTCCTCTCCTTGAGCATACTGTCCATTCAGGCTGTGGCCTCACCGGTAAAAAAAAATTATTTTGAATATAAAAAGTCTGATGGCCAAGTCAGAGCTTACACTCAGGGAATTAATTAATTAATTAATTGTCTTGACTGGGGGGTGGGGGGAAGTTGCTCCTTCATGCCAGATGAGGACACTGAGTTTAAGCAAAGGTGGTAAGGAAGATGGTTGACAAAGCACGAAGAACGATAACTTTTGCAGCTGCCCACTTTCATATCCAGCTTCTTGTCATTTCTAGTATATTTTTTCCTCCTCTCCTTCTTTTGCCTGAACTCTTGGTTTCATTTAGAGCAGAGGGTTTAAGGCTGACACCTCTCTCTTTAGGAAAATCGTTCTTGCTCTTTTATAAAGCAAGATGTACTTTTACAGCTTTCTACTGATTTTTTAAATAGTTTATATATATATATATATAGTCCCTATTCCCAAGCTAGGTTTACATGATTTATGATTGAGGAAAAGCCTATGTTTATCATACGGCAAGCTACAAGCTGTAACAGTCTTTGTCATGGGCTTGTCCCCAGCATCCTAACTAAGCAAACTAATACATGCCCAGAGGCATAAGTGCAAATCCATTATTTATTCATCCACATTCCTTATGCCCTGTTGCAGTCTATTACCAGCTCACCAACTCACAGTTGCAATGAAACAGAAACTATGTTGCTTCCCAACCTTTTCTTTACCTGTGGGCTTTTACCTGTGCAATCAAGGTTTTCAAAGACAGGAGGCGTCCTTGGAAGGCAGCGTCATGAAGAGGAGATCGATCTGCCCAGCTACCTGAAACAGCAAATGCATAGAAGTTAGTTCGGGTAAGCAACAAAAGCAGGTCCTGGGAGGACATGGGAAAAACAGCTGCATGTAAACACAGACCAGGACCGAAATCAATGTAAGGTCAGTGGTGAAAGTGCTTGATAAATCAGCAGAGCAGCTCAGCACTCCTGAGAAAGCCAGCTGTGCACTAAGGGACCTAAACAAAAGCTTCTGGGCAGAACTTTTAAAAACAGCTGAAAACATGCTTCATCAAAGACCACGAGTATTGTGCTGCTGGGATTCATCTGGGGACTTCAGAGTCCTGCAATTCTATTCAAAACCCTATCAGCCTCTATCTTTTCTAGGGAGCTTTTGTCACAAATCATATTCCAGTTTCTCTCGCATTTCCTTAAGAGACTCACAGCAGGGATATACGAGGATGACTTGCCCATCAAATGAGTTCTACATGTCCCTGGCAGTTTTATTTCCTGAACTGACAATTTCATAAATAATATCCCCAGCTCAGACTAGCAGGTAACAGATTTCATCCTCCTCCTCACTGGAACGTTTCAGAAAAGACAAGGAAAAATAAATTCTGCCTGAGGCTTTACTTTTCTTCCTTAATCATTTTGAGTTGTTGAACTGTTCAGACTCCTTCAGGTATGCTAGCCTGCCCTTTTGCTTATCTTAATCTATTCATGTGCCAAGAAAAAAAAAAAAGTCCTTAGCCTAGCTACTACCTACAGGCATAGTCAGTCAGCCCAGGTTAAATGCCTGAAATTCAAGTGAAGAGCAAATTTATTTGTCCTATATTAAAATTTATAACCATACGACACAGTGTGTAGTAAGTATTTCTCCAAAGGCCGGCTGCATTTACAATGCCACAGGACAGAAGCAATACCAGTGTGTGCATTCATGCTCTGTTGTACAGCAACCCCATGAGCACTGCATTTGAAACCCTTGTCCTGTTTAATTTTTTCAGCTACGCCGCACACCAGAGAGAATGGAAAGGGTGATTTATCTCCATTTCAGGCAATACCCGAAGCAGAGACAAATCAGTGAGAGGCACAGACACATCCCTGGAGACTTCATACCAAGGACACAGCAGAGGTTTCAGCCTTGGCCAAGGGAGTCTCCTTTTGTGCCCGAGAACTGGGATGCAATTCAGCTCACAGAGTTACAGTTTTAACTGCAGTTATCACTTCTGTTTCCATTTAAGGAGCTGTTCCTGGGCTCCTAAGGCAGGAAGCTGGCAATACATGCACTAAGGCAGGTCGCACAATATACAACCAGGCTCCTGAGGACCAAGAAGGACCCACCAGGCAAAATGATGGAAACAGGAGCCAGGTATGGACTGAGAAACATTTTCTTGAAAAAAAAACAAAAAATCCCACATCCCCCATCATGCTGGTGATTCAAATAGGCAAGCTCAGTTCAAAAAGTTAGAAGACACCACAAGCGACAAAACCAGGGCCCTTATACAGCAGGAAGATTCAAAGTAACTCAGATGACAGAGATACAGTGCCTTATTTAACCTTTTATGTGTATAGTATTGCATGTGCAAGTGCATGTCACATGTGATTTATAACACATGTGTATGCATACACGTTCACCATGAAAATACATGCTGCTATACACTTCCATGCTAGCCACAGCAACCTACCTCCCTGAAATGTGTGGCAAATATAGTTCCCATATGGGCCACATCTTCCCTTCACAGTTGTGAGTGACATTTCTGAAAACACTGTGTCTTTCTAAATGTCTACAGATAAATTAAGCAGCCCTCTTGCTGATGCTGCGCTACTTCGCTGCAAAGAAAAAAGGCTGTGAAGCTCTGCCTGTAATCCAATATAGTGCTCCAGCATCAGCATCACATGATCTTATGTTGTGTAAGGTTATCCTTAATGGCTTTCTGCAAATGGCAACTTGCAAATAAAAATATGTTGTGGTCTGATAAATTTCAAGGCACTTCAGTAAGAACCTGCATGATGGAGAAACTTCTGTTTGCCACGTCTGACTACAATTGTGTGAAGGCACTTGGAAAAAAATGACAGTAACAAATGATTGGAATTATATTCTGGAGAATAACAAATAAATTAACAACCCAGACATGCCTGTGTGTAAAGACGTTGTAAAAAATGCTTTGCTGCAGCGTTTCCCTTGGCCTGATCTTAATCTCTCTGCTTTGGGTGCCATCTCGCACCACCCATGTTCTGCTCATGTTCATGTGCCTGTTCAAGGCAGCACTATTCATCATGAAAAAAGTGCCCAGCAAATGAGTCACATAAAAATCTGTGATGTCACAATGCTGATAAGAATCTCCAGGTAGGAAAATATACCCTCATTAGTAGTAAATTTAAAATACTGTGTCATTTTAATTAGTGGAAGTGCTGGGCCTGCAAATGCATGTCTACTCATTATGGCAGTGGTGTGAAGGGGTAAAATCAGTTGGGGGGAAAAAAAAAAAAGACCTACTAAATAGCTTACTAAAGACAATATATTCCTGTGCCATATATTTTTCAGAATAATTCTAGCTGTATTCATTTTATCATCTGATTTAACAAAACAGGCGTTCTTGGCTTCGACTCATAAAGTCATTAGTTATATCCTCCTAGCATCTCCTTTCAGAAAATCAACATGCTAAAACTTTTCCCTAAATATTCTCTGGTGGTAAAGCTAGGTATTTAGTAAAACCATCTCTAACCCCCGCTAAAGAATGCCTTGCTTCCAAAACCAGTCTTTTTATTTACTGTAGTGCCTTGAGCAAATGTTGTCCTCATTCTAGCTGGATAATTGTTGGAGTCTCATATTTTGCACACCTAAATCATGCCAACACATACTGACACTGCAAAGACCCTAGAAATGGAAGGCACTTCAGGTTAAAACATTCACCCTTGCATTTAGCAACAGATTCCTCATTTCATGGCAACTCAATGATTTAAATCCTCAAGTTACAAAAATGTAGCAAATATACATTTAAATGTTAGAGTGTCCATATTTTTACTTTACCTGGGACTATTCCATAGATCTCTTCTGCTATCCTGGCAGCCTCTTTTCTGTTGCCTTTAACAATATAGAAATGGGTCAGCAAAGCCAATGAAATCTTAATTAAAAGCTTGAAGCAAAATAAAGCAAAAATGGCAAAATAAATGTTTGTGAAAGCATGAAGTACAGAACTGCCCTCCATTTTGGATTGCTCTTTGAATAGATCGGGCTATTCTTGGTATCATATCTCATCTATTTTAAACCCTCCAGAACCTGCTGTTCCTCAGTTACCAAAAATACACTCTAGTTTTATTTGGTATGGCTATTTGATACTAAATAACAATACTAAGCATAAGATAGTTGAACACCCCATTTCATATGGGAAACAACCAGAAAATCCTTTCCAAAGCCACATGAATTAGAATAAATATTCAGATAGATGCTCTCCATACCATCCTGAAAGCCTGTATACCCACAATATGTAGCAATTTGATGTAGCAATTCTACTTACAAAGGCTACATAGGTGAAGCTGTAGAAATTGTTCAGAGATACTGCAAAAATAATACTTTTCTGTCTTTCCTGTCTTGGTAACAGGCCTTGTTGGTACTCAGATAAGAACAAAGGCAAATATATCAAAGAAAAACATTATCATGAAAGAATTTGAAATAAACCCACATATTTTCAAAGCCAGGGCTAAGAAGTCAGTTATTCTAGGAGGGGAAAAAATACATTGAAAGTATGTAATCAGAAATAGATAACATGCTGGTATTTTCCATCACTCAGGGATAAAGAGAGGTATCTATTGATATCTCTTGCAACCAGCATCTTACTGTCTTGGAAGAATGAAAGTATTTTTACACTATCCATCATTGATTCAAAGGTGTAATATTTGAAACTGAAGAAGATGCACCCTTTCTTTAACTGCCCTTTTTTCTTTCTGAAGGCACATGGCATGGCTTCCATAGAGAACAAAGTAATTTTTATACATGTGATTAGCTGAATCTATTTAGAACATCCCATCACCTTTTAATCTAAAATTTCTTGAGTCCTGTTTTCCCATATACACAGCAGGAGGGATATTTTTTTCTTTCTTTGAATCCCCTCCTTGCCCTTCAGTTTATACACCTGTCAAGGGAAACTGCAGGATGACTCTCCTCTCTTGGAGATCCTAAGGAGATGGTGGATATGCAGAAGGAAATTTTACAGCAGATTTTTTCCCTGGACATTGTAGATGCAATTTGTTTTGTTTTGTAGCAATATAGCTGGCTTAGTACCTTGCTGTCTTCAGCTCTCTGCACTCCCAAGTGCGCTAGAATGCTATATAAAATATGTGCAGACAGACTGTAAAAAACACCCCAAGCTATTTTCTCATTTTTGAAGTGAACTAATTTTTCTAAAATTCTGAATTAAACCAAGATATTGCATTTTACCAATGACTTAACACCTTACATAATTATTACTTATACATTTCCTTCCAGAGTAATATATCTGTAGAAACTGTAACACCTATGAATCCAAAGAAGGAAAATTGACTATTTTTAGTCACTTTAATACTGTTTGCCACAGGACAAGACAGCTGAAGACACAGGTTACATGGCAAGAGAAGTTCAGTTAAGGAATCGGAGAAAAAGTTAAGTTTGCTCAACTGTGAAACAAAAAGGAGAAATTAGCAAACAAAGGTGGACCAAAAAAGGCACGATCAGTTAGCCCTAGAAAAACATGAGATAATGAAAACACCCCTCCTGAAGCCAGAGGAATAGCAAAAGATGTAAAGAACAGAATATAGGATGCAAAGAGAAAGAACAAACAGAAAAAGATTACAAAGGTCAGGTCAGCCTCAGTGATGGAGAAATCTTTCTCATGTAGGATCTATAAAACTGGCACTCAATAGGACATCAGCAAGAAGGAATAGCACCTTTTAAGAGAAAGACCAGAAAACAGACTTTTGATTGCAAAGGAGATCCACTGATCTTCTTTCGTAATCAGCCTGACAGATAGTAGGTAGAATTGTACAAGTCCACAACCCTCAGAAAAGTACAAGAAACTGGAGATCAGGTGATTTCCACTGAAATTCTCTTATTCCTAAAGGAAGGTGAAATTCCAATAATACTGAAGAGCTGTCAGGTGGGAGGAAGTTTGACCACTTGGAAGCAGCCACAGGAACGTGCATCTTCCAAAAGGACAAGCTCCATTTGTGTAATACTAAAATCACTCTCCTGGCTTCAGAACAGCTGAAGTTTTTTAATTAAATGATGGAGTCATTTGAGGAAAGCTCATGTAATCTTTTAATCTGTTCTTAGTGTACAAGAGCACTAGAAAAATTACTGTGGTGGATTAGAAAACAATTGTCAGTGGGAAGATGGCTGAACAGCATGGTGGGAAGTATTAATACTGGTGAGGGCAGTAGTCAGGTGAGCTGTACCAAGATCTGGTGTGAACACACAGAAACGTGGTATTTCTGAAACTAAAGAAAGGTGAGCAACATAAAGTGGACATGAGAACAGATATAATACAACAGAAGAGCGACTACAATGCAGAAAACAGGAACCTCATCTTTCTTCCATCCTTGTTTTGGGCAGCATCGTTGTGAGTTGGATGAGATGGATAGTGTAACTCCATTGATAGACGGAGTGAACAAATCCACCCTCTGTGGAAAAAGCATGCCTCATTGAGAACTTCTGCAAGATGCCCAAACTACTCCATGGATCACTCTAGCTTTCAGCTAGAAGGAGTACTAAACTGTCAAATTAAAATGTCCAGAAAATATATTAATCCTTCTGTAAAACTGTCATGAGATGGTGAATGAATAGTTCAGCTAGATGCTCCAAAGAACTGGAAAGCTGATGTTTGTATGTTCCTCATTTACAAACATGAAAGGAATAAGCACAGAAGAAAAGCAGTCCAGCTTATATGACAACTCATTTTCATTGCAGTTCACTTTAACTTTAGCCAACGGTGTGAAATGTCAGGTGTGACCTGAAGAATTTGGCAAGGAAATAACGATTAGAGAGATCCTCTTCTCAAAGAAATTAAGAGGTATCGGTCTCATCTTATGCTAGACACTCTGAATTACAGCAGTGTATTTCTGATGTATATAGTTGAGAGTTTAAATATCAAATATATTCAGTCAGAGTAAGACAACTGGGGAAAAAAGGAGGCACAAGCTTTTTCCTGAAGGAAAGAGATCAGAACAAAGATGCACGGAGAGCCTAGCTCTTTCTTTTCTATCAGTTTGATCTATTAAATGACACAACTTCCTATCCAAGCTTTACCTCATCAGCATCCTTAGGTCAGCGCACTTGTAACACTCTTGCTTTTAAAAAGGGATCCAGATAGTGACTCACTGGCTGCTCTTAAACAAGCAGCTGTGGGATTCGTCTCAGCTCCCTGCCACCCCCCGCACCACGTAAAGCCTGGCTGCCTGCACGCCTGCTGCTGCTTGGGCAGGAGAACAGCCAATTCCAGCAGGCAGAGTATTTCTCCCCGCATGCCCGCGAAGCCTGTGCTAGCAGGGGATGACTCCCCCCCTCTCTAGAAGCGTGCCATCCGTGTCCCCCGCTTCGACAACCAGCTTAAAGAACCAGCGTGTGCTAGACAACCAGCTTAGGCAGGTTACAGTTCAACGAATCCTGCACAAATACCATCTCCAGAGTTAGAATCCAAAAATAATCCAATCTGTTAAGCGTACAAGAAAAAAAAGCGTAATTTCAATACAATGGTAAACTCAGATGCATAACCGCATCTTGCCTTTAGTTTTGTTCCCTTAAAAAAAAATATCCTCCCTTTAGCTGGCTATGCCAATGTTCAATTAGGAAAAAACTGTGGAACTCAACACACTACTGAGTGTCACAGAAGATGTACACCAAGTATGATGAGAGTAGTTTAATGATAGCAAATAAAATATTAAAAATATTTTTTTTAATTTTAAAAAGTTTGTAAAACCATTTTCTTTTGAGATTGATTGTTCTTATGTCGATTTACATAAAATCTGTATTTTACTAGGGCACCAAAAAGATGAACTTCTACAAGTTTTTGTTTATAAGCCTAAGCATATATACATATATATAAACAAAAAAAGACTAGCAAAGAGAAATAAATATCAAAAGGGGAAAAAATAAGTTTATTTTAAAAAGATGCAGAAAAATTTGACCACAAAAATAAGTACATTACAGTGTATTTACCTTCTTACAGATCTATCCACATCAACTAAAACAAAGTCTGAAAGACAAATCTACATTCATACTTTACTTGATACTTGTTCTGGTTTAACATACAATTTCCAATTGCCAGCATGCTGTCTACACCTTAAATCACAGTGTCTGCATGTAATATACTGGAAACACAAATTCTCCTTGTGCCTGCAGGATGGAATTTTATTGCAGATCAATGATCCGTTCTATGAAAGGGGGGACTGAGGAGGAGACACCTTGTGTATACAAGGTTTTTGGGTGTTCCCTCCTCCTCCACACCAGCAGCTCTGCTCTATGCAAAGCATTACTCAGTATCACTCTCTCTTTGGTAACATTTCCCTACTATTTCACAATAATCAAATGTTACCTACAACTGAAACATTTTAGATTTTTTTTAGTTATTTTAGTAATTTCTAAATACACTCATTACTCTTGTTTGATGTTTTTATTATTGTGATTATTTTAAACGTTTCCATTTTACCCACTGATGCTTTTTAAAACTGCAAATGATTCAGTGACATCATCCCTTACTCTACTGCACAAGGCAGGTAAGTGAATCAGTCCCACAAAGACTTATGTGTAATACAAGTTACATTACTTGAGAAACAGCCTAGTTGTAGTTAAACCAGTTATGGATTAAATTTTTGTGGCAGCTTGTGCAGGATGTTTTTTAATAACCATCTTTCTCATAAGAATTCCAACCACCAGTGATAGGAAGCAGCAATATGGAGTATATTCCCATACTTTCTAATTCTATGTTCCCCCATATTAATGAAAAATATCCATTCTTTATGTAAATGCAACTAAACTTTTAGATAAATTGTAAATTTGTCTTCTAAACAAGACTATAACGAGGTTTTATTATGTTATTCATAAGTACACAGTGTTCCACCAAAAAAAGGAGAATTATTTTGAATAGATTCTCACAATCCTGTTGAATTTGTATTGGTAGATGTTGCAGGAAACGAAAAGGAAATAAACCAGAAAAAAAAAATTATTTTAATATATAAAACTTATATAATTTATATACATATATATCCTATATATGTATATAAAACTTTTCCCTGGAATGATAATCAGTATTTTTAAAAAGCTGTTATGGACTTGAGTGCTTGGGAAAAAAAAAAAAAAAAAAAAAAAAAGAGTAAGTAACTTTGAAAAGTAGAATACTACCTTAAATTCACTAATTTATCCACAGTCTGTGTGGCACCATTTTAGCTGACCTCCACTTTTAATGCAGAGTTTAAAAAATTCAAATTGGAATACAATTCATAACGTATGTTACATATCAAAAGCTAAAAATTCTAGTAAAAGTAAACAGACTTTGTATATGGTACGTATTTCACATTACTTTTCTGTGTTTCGTGAAAATATTTTCAATGAAATTATAAAATGTCAGATGCTAAGGTAATTATATCTCTACAGAAACAAGATGATATTGACAGAAGTTGTGTTTTAAATACTGCCCTTCAAGGGTTTCGAAACAGTACTTTCATATTGCAGAGTTTTAATGTTAATACAGTATCCAACATTACATAATACTCAGTCATAAAATTGTAAGATTTTTAGTCTTCAGTGATGCTTGGAAAAGAAATCAACCCAGTGCACTAGACAGGAGAGGGTTTTAGAGGTGGTTGACATAAATGAGATAAATGCCCCCTCTCACACATTGGTATGTTGTATCACCTATTGTCCAAGGTATACTTTTTTTCTCTGCTTGAAAATAAAACCTATTGGTTATTTCCATTTAACAGAAACCTTCCCAAGATTTCACTTGCAGAACCTGCCTGACAGCTTCTCTGATTTAGTTCACTAAACATTGTCCCTCCCAGAGATGGACTAAAATGCCATTTCAGTGATAAGTAAGGGGAAAAAAAAAAAAAAAAAAGTAGTTAAAAAAAAGGGGGGGGTGGGAGGGAAGAGAGAGCAAGCAAGCATGATGGTGCTTGTTAAACCCTTCATGGATTTCTCTCTCTCAAGCACACACACGTTACTTCACACTTTGGCATAGTCTGCTGGAGGAGTTTTCAGGCCTGAGCTGTTTCTGAAGGCTGTATTATCTCTAAATAATATAATTTCTTCACCTATTTATTTTAAAAAAAAAATGCCATAAGCTTTACATCACTTTCCTGCATGTAAGTGAACAGGACAAATATAGCACCTCTGAAAATATAAAAAAATTACTATGGAGTTTTGGTTTAGCAACCGGATGAACCAACTGGACTAGGGAAGAACTTCAAAATAGTAACTCTATACAGGCAAAACACTGTCACTGAGACACAACTGCTAGAACTAAGTCTCTGAACAAGACTAATTTCAAGTATAATTTTCATCTTAGGAGAGAAAATGTATGTTTTGTTGGGTTTTTAACCTAATATTTTTAAATAAGTCTCAAAATAAAAATCACATTAAATCTCAGGAATTAGCAGGGAGTATGGTAAACTAATAATTTTTGTGTCTTTCTTTCCCAAATACCACTAAAGTTTACAGTCACTGTCTGTAATATTCAAGTTGTCAGGAAAAATCTTGTATTTTTTTTCCTCAAAGGCTCTTGACACACATAAAAACCCATGGTCTCCTCCCAACTTTAAGTGCAAAAGAGATGTCCATAAATTTGCATGAATCCGAAATTAAATTAAAACATAATCCTAAATTGAGGTAGCACATTTAACCGAGTTTCCTTCCAAGAACTTCAGAAAGAAACTGAAGAATTTGAAGAGTAATGTCTCTATCAGCAACCGTTAAAACCTTTAGTGACTGATGTGTTCTTTCCTCCCCGTTTGAGCATTTTAGGAGCTTGGAAGTTCTTCTTTAACTTTTCCTTTTTTCTCCAAAAAATACTGTTTAGTCCATGCACCTTTAGGACCTGTGGCATCTATTGCAACATCAATAATGGAATCTGGAGTCATCCACCTCAGAAACACCAAGAAAAGGAAGTTCAGAACAGCAAAAAGAGCAAAGATATACCCAGTCACTGGGCCGCAGTGAGACATTAGTCTGTTAAGTCGCTCATCCATTGGTAAAACCACTTCATCTGCAACCCTGTCATACACCTAAAGTGAGAAGAGACAGAAAGATCTTAAAATTATGTTGCTTTTACTTCAAAAATCAGACAGTACTTTGTTGTCAGTGTGCAAAATAAATTATCTATTCCTAACTACTACATGGGACAAATATTACTCCAAATAAGCTTTGCAGATTTTAAGTGTTGATTTATGAGTACTGTTCTAGAACAATCATTAATTTATTTAAGGAGAAAAAGGGAAAGGAATGTTCTGGAGTTTTGAGTATTTCATTAAATAGGAAGGCTCTTTAATAAAAGAATCTTCGTGTCTCTTGTAATATTATATAGAGAGGGTTGGGGGTTTTTCAATTAATTGAATGGGTTCTAACCTTATTTTCACACCAGCTAAAGGAAAAGAGTCTGCACTTGCAATTACTAGATTTTCAACTCAAAGATGGATGAACTCATAAATGAGTTGGCAATTTTCCAAATCGCTGTATTTGTATAATCAGGGAAATCATAATAGGATACTGATCTTTATTTAAAGAAACACTAGTAATTCTTAGTAAAATTCTTAAAATTCGATGGATGTGAAAAGCAAATACGTGCTACTAGTGACTTAATATACATATTAACCACAACCATTAAAAAAAAAAAAGTATAGTCCTGGGTTTCACAGAACAGGAACATAAATGCCCACTACACGCAACTCAGAAAGGGCTTAAAGAACACAGAGTTTTTTCTTTGAGAACATTACAGACTTCATCCTATGGGTAACTTAACAATGGGCTAACAAACAACTGTCCTTCGTACAACATAAGTTCCACACATACTACTTTCAATTATACTAACTTTTTCTTTCACAGAGTTGTGTGGTTTGGGTTTTTTTTAAGGGACTATAAAGGAAACTGAAATCTAGACTAACTTCTATAAAAATTTTGCAATTGAAATGTTTCATTTCAACTGCATGCAATAAGAGGCACCTGATGCTGCTACTCTCCTGCCTAAAACGTAGGGGCTGAAGTCATAAACGCCTCTGGAGATCTCGATGTTTCTAACATTACTGCAGTTAATGTTTTTCACTACCGGCAGATTTTTTACGCTGAAGCGCAGTTCTAATTCTGAAATATGATTTCAGAAGTGTGAGAATTTATTTGCATTACATCCATAGCTTATGTAAATTCAGCTATGTTCAGCTTATTAGCATTAAACTACCTCTCATGATTTTAAACCACTTCTTTGCACGTGGCAGACAAAACTTCATCACGAACTCCATCTTCCCCTTTTCATACATCTTATACAGCATGTTTTCTAGTTATGTCAGAAAAATTATTTAATGTGGAGGCTGGAAAAACTACATGAGTAGAAATATAACTAAAGTTCTAGGCCATTCTTCAGAATATTTATCAGTAGTTATGGCACAGAAAAAAAAGTGCAAACAGAAAAAAACCACCTATCTTGGGATGTATTTGGCGGGGGGGGGGGAAGTATCTTCTGAGCCTTTTTAAACCATGTATGTTTGACAGGAAACACACCGAAAAATTACACTGAAACGTTACATAGAGAATGTACGTAGCAATGAAGCAGTTGTTTCAGAAATGTACTTCAAGAGAATTGAAAGGTGTGGTTATACATACTTTCTCAGTTCTCTCTGCTACATTCCTCCAAGTATAAAATGTCTTTACTTTATTATGAACAGTTTCTGGAGATGGTAGTGTTCCTGATCTGAGCTGGTCAATCGCTTTTTCTAATCCACCACACAAAGATTTCACGGAGGGTTCACATAAAATAATGAGATTTTCTGGAAGCACCTCAGGAATCCCACCAACTCTTGTACTCACCACCTTTGAAAGAAACAAAAGAAATAGCACATACCCTACATAACAAAATCAAGTGATGATACTGCTATTACACTGTTTAGATGCAGCACTTAAGAATAGGAAAAAAAAATACGAAGAGTGGTTGCCATGAAGGCAAAGACATTTTACCTGTATGAGAACTAAAGGCCCAGGCCCTGGAAAAGACTTAGCATAGCAGATTACCTTTAACAATGTTCAGAATGTTTCTTTGGTGGCATGATCAAACAGAAGACTTGGTCTAATGAGCAGTTTATGACACATCTTTCCTAAAAGTGTTTGTCACAGTACACAACTAAATGTGTGTAACCAGATTTTGGACATTTGCTCCATAGTCCATCATGAAAACTGTTCTCTCTAAGTAGAGAGAAGAGTTTTACCACATCCACCTTCAGTATATGCTTTCTACAATAATTTATTTAGAAGTTCAGTAATTTTAGTCTGAACCATTATTTTTAAAGCAAAATCAGAAACTACTACAACTCACATTATGCAATCATCTCTAAGGTGCAGAATTTCCTCACATCTAGAGAGGAAAACAGATGGCAGGGGAGTAACTATCACAACTAGGCAGTAACTACACTCAAAGGATATTGGAGTAAAAAAAAAAAAGTCCTGTGCATTTTTTTGGTATATTAGATCCTCTCATCAGTCTACCTTTTAAAAAAAGTTTCTTTATATTTTAATGTAAGAAACTAATTTCTTTATGGCTGTTGATTTAACTTTGAATTGTCAGTCTGACTTGTAAATTTAGCAGAAACAGCTTTTACTGTTTTCTCTCTCTCCCTTATCTTGAATCCGTAAATGGTAAGGCAAATACATCCTCAGTTCGCATAAGAAAACAAACGTCAGTTCTTGGTGCAGGAATAATATAGTTCTAGTACAGTGGTTTAGTCTGGCAATTCAATATGCCTGACTGATCAAACACCCATGCTCATGAGCCATTTTTCTGCAGTTCCTCTTAAAGCAGTATCAAAGTAAACCTTCAAGAACATCAGCTACCCCAAAACTCTGTAAAGAAGTACATACAAAATAGCATTTTGGAGAGGCAGTCTGGTTAGTTCAGAGAACTGAGAGTTAGCAGATCTACATGTTATTCCCAATTCTGCACAAGTTTCTTCTGGGAGCTTAAGCAGTTTCGGTTAACCCTTCTGTCTCAGCTTCCAGGTGATCTGTAAATGGGGATAATATTTGCTCACCTTTGTAAAGACAGAGCCTCAGATGAAATAAAATCTTACAAGCATATATTATTTAAATTATGAATTTTGTTTAAAATGGATACATGCGTTGTAGATAGCAGAGATCTTTTTTTACCTGTAAACCACAGCTTGCAGCTTCCACAATTGCCATACAAAAGGCCTCCGTGAGGGAAGTGTTGAGAAAAATGTGCCCCTGAACTAGAACGTTTCTAACATCCTGGTGTTCCAAGGCTCCTAGGAGACGTACCCTGCATATAAGGGTGGAAGGGGAGAGGGGAAAGAGGGAAGATAGATAAACACTAGATTTGGACTGTAATAATACTGTATAGTGTTACACATATTCTGAAAAATATACCAACGGTTCACACTTACGTAGCGAGAGAAGGAACACAGATACCTTTGTTCCATTTTTTCTATTTCTTTGTTTCTGCAAAAATTTAGAGGACTGCTTCTCATTTTCACACTAAAAGAAACATCTTAAAATAAAGGTGGGGGGAGAAGTTGCTCTGTTTATTTTAATGGCAACTGCCTTCAAAATGTTGCTACTGAGCTTTCTAGTTCCATCAGAGAACATGGTTTCATGCAGTTAATTAAGATTTGTCATCCTTTCTTTGTTTAGATATATTATCTGAATTTTCAATGTGAGGTCTGATCAATCTCAGTCAGGGGGGAGGGGGAGGATACTTAGGATACAACAATCAGGATCTATTATTTTGAAGAGATTCTGGGAAACTGAAAAGGGCTAACTAATAATGATAATAAGAAACAACTTTATCAGAAGAATCATTGACTGAAGTACAGAATGGTAACAGAAAACAGAGACCATGAAATAGAAAATTAATAATCCTGTCCTCGCTACATAAAACTCTTTGAACAAGAAAACCCCTAAGAAATACACAAACGCATATGTATCAAACAAACATTTTGGTAACACAGTAGCACCAGGGAACCTGTTCCTAGTACCACAAGAACACGTACTAGATAAGCACTACCCTGAAGAGTTTCATACTGAAATAATAAAATAAATTATGAGCAGTAATGCTCACAAGCAACAGCAACACGAACTAGCTAACAGCTGATGCCGTATGGTAGTATGTGATCCAGGCACCACAGTTTCAGAGGGTAATATGATAAATTTATGCCTAAGTCAGCTTTTCTCTGACTCGAGTGAAGGCTCATACGGGGTCTATTTCTATGAATTCACTTGCAGGATCACAGTCCAATTCCATAAGCCTTCAGTTAGTGTCTGCCCTATCTGCCTTGCCTTCAGCAGTTCCCATCTTCTCCAGCCTCAAATTTTTGGTGTTTTTTTGGGGGGGAGGGGGACAGGGAGAAAGGGTGTTGCCGTTGTCTTCCCCACCCTTAAAGTACATTGAAGGGACATAAATATGCACAGAACAAACCTGTCATGTAGCTGGTATCTTTCCCGGACTTCTTCCAGTACGATTCGTTTTGGTCCTTCTCCTCCAACTAAGAAATGTATCTCTGGATATTTCTGACAGAGCTCAGGAATTATACCACTCAGCAAATCTATACCTAAGAGTAGAAAATTTAGGGTAAGCTGTTATTGTATTTGATTTTAGAACTTACCATGATGTAGCCTAGTGCTATAAGCCTATTCAAAAGAAAGAAAAAAAAAAAAATTCTCTTCAAGACAGTTACACTGATGATCACAAAATCCTGAGAAGAAGACAACCTGTGATCTATTAGGAGACAAATATGGAAAAAAATAATCACTTAAGTTGCTGTTGTTTGAGTAAATAAAAAACAGTTAAGCACTTCTAATGGAATATATAGATCAGGGCCTAAATCACATCCCTAACAGAAGCCAAACCTTCCATTTCACAAATTCCGTTTTCCAATATCCTCCATATTACAAAATACACCTCTCAACCCAGCATGCACAAACGGAAACGTACATTTCTTCTTCTTGAACGCGCAGACATACAAAAGTTCAGAACTGTCACCTCACAACTCCCATTTAAAATCCAATCCATACCACAGATACAGCCCGAGTGGCACTTAACCAAGACCTTCCTTACCAAACCCTACAGAAAAAAATAACCAGAATAAACTTACATTTTATCCCCCCATTACCTTTTCTGTAAACAAGCCTGCTGACCACAACAATTGTTATCGTACTGTCATCCCTCCTTGCCGGGTCTGGAGTGAAGTCGGTGGGATCAACAGCGTTGGGGATGACGGAGACTATCCGAGGGTCCAGCGCAGCCCGCAGCACCGTGTTTTCCTTGCTCGTGTAGGAGACGCAGACGATGTGGTTCGTATCGCACAGGGACACCGTCAGAAGTTTGTTGGTCAGCACCGAGCTGACATCCGCGAACCCGAAGAGGGAGTGGTCCGTGAACACCGTCCGCAGCCCCATGGTCTTGGCGTGGAAGAGGGCGTCGTGGGCCATGGCGGAGAAGGAGCTGTGGGCGTGGACGATGGTGACCCTCTCCCGCACAAATATGTACCTGAGCAGAGGCAGGCTGTGGAAGAGCGTCGTGGCCGTGGACTGGTTGTACATTACTTTCAGGGGCAAGTAGTAGACCTTCAGCCCGTTGGTGAGGTAGCGGACGCCCTTGCGGCGGCCGTAGGCGTGGGTGACCACCAGGACCTTGTGGCCCCGCTCGATGAGGCACTGCGACAGCTGGTACACGTGGCTCTCCACGCCCCCCATGTTGGGGTAGAAGAAGTCCGACACCATGCAGACGCTGTGCGCGCCCCCCGCCGGGCCCCCGGCCGCCATCCCGGGCCCGCTCCTGCCGGGGGAACCACAAGGCGCCGTCACTCGCCGGCGTCCGCCCGCGAGGGCCGCCGGACCCCTCAGAGCCGCCGCCGCCGCCGCCGGGACCGGCCATCCCTCCCGCGCAGGCCGCGCCGCGGACCCCGCCAGCGCCAGCACCACGCACCGAGGAGGGGGCAGCCGCCGCCGCGGGCCCTTTAAGAAGGCGATCACCCCGGCAACCGGTGGCCGGCTCGAGGGAAGGGGGGGGGGGGGGGGGGGGGGAAGCGTGGAGGGGGGCCGGGACCGCGCACGCACGTACCTGCCGGCCGCCGACGCTCCTCGGACGCTTCCCGGCGGCCGCCCATTTCCGGGCACGGCCGCTCCGTCACCACGGCAACCGGCACGGCTATTCCCTACCCCCCCCCCTCCCCACCCCCCAGCCGAGCGATCCCTCCTCCAAGCCCGTCTCGGCGCCGCAGCCAATCCGCCGCCCGGCTCCGCGTCACGCGGGAAAAGAAGCGGCCAATGGGAGCGGCCGGGACGGGGTGGGGCGGGGCGAAGAGGGGTGACGGGAGCGGGGCGGGAAGCCGGCCTCGGCTGGTTGCTGTAAAATAAATAAATAAATAAACAAACAAACAAAAACCGACCACCACCTCATACACAAAAGTAGTCCGAAGCGTTGAAAAAAGTGAGCTGCACCCTGTAGAGTGATAGAATTGCCTTAAAACTTTAAAGGCTTTGCCGTGCCCCCCGTGGAGAAGTTCTTCAGGTGCGCTGTTTGGCTCCGTTGCAACTGGAACTCCCCAAAACGCTCCCAAGGCTTTTGCAACAAGTGCTGGAAGCTTGCTCTCTCTCGATGGAAACAAAAATACCATTATTTATACAGACAGTCCAGGACCGTGGGGTTTGAGAAGCGCGCCTGGGTTGTGCGAGTTGCGCTCTGGCACGGCGGGCTGGCGCTGCTTGGCTGAGTGTTTCTGGTCTTCTCAAGGAGCTCTGCAACCGGCTGGCAGCAGCTCCAGCACCGGCTGCCAAGAAGGATGCTGCCTCACCAGACCCGGGTTGTTCATGCCTTGCCTATACGTTCCCAACACTATGTTTGGCAGCAACTTCTTGCCAGGATTTCTGACACAAATTCTGTCAGATTTCATTCTGTCATCAATCCCATGCAAATATCTGTCATGAGTGATGACAGTACAAGCTGGCCTACTCTGCGGTGCCGGCCGGATCCCTGGTTCGGTTGAAGGTTGGACAGGCACTTCATTCTGGGCACTGAGAGATGTGAAACACGTCAGTGTGCTGAATAAGAGGAACATTGCTCGTTGCTTGAATTTTTCCCATGTATTTGGAAAGGCGAGACCAGTATTGGCAAATATGACTTCATCATCAGGTGCTCCTCCGGGGTGGCAAGAACCTGAATTTCAGGATGAGAAAGCGAGTATGAGGCCAGAGTGGGGAGGCTTCTCACCTGCAGTGGCAGGTATCCTGCTGTGAAAGAAGAGACCGGGAACCATAGGGATCCTAGTTCTCAGAAGAAACTGCAGCCTGGGTGTAAGGCAGTTGCCTTAAATTACATCTAGGAATAAAACCAAAGTAGTGGCAGGAGAGGGAGGAAGGCACTTGGAGGTTCTCAGCTGCAGCACCCCATGATGTGATCCCTGGTAAATGACGGTGGTGACCTCCCCTGGTGTCAGGCTGACCTGAAGAAACAAGCTGTGCTAGTCACTCCAGTTTTAGCTGTCAAAAAACCCCAATGTTTATGGTTTTAACTATTTGGAATTTTTTTTTTTTTTTTTTTTTTTTAAGACTAGTTCTTCTCATGTGCTGTCTAGAGAAGTTGTAGTTCTTGGTATTCAAGCTTAAAAAGTCCAAAGAGAAATCCTAACTGTTAAACAACATAGCAGCCCCTCTCTTCAGCAAAAGAAGTGGGGTTTGACATGTTCCATAAGCTGATGCTGACCAGCCACCATGCAAATTCGGAATACTGGCACCGACCTACAAAACCTCCCACAGGACAGATCCACTTAATCTCAGGAACCTCTTTTTATGCCACAGCAGTTGTAATTTTTTTACCCTCTCTATTTATCTGAACTTTGGAGAGGACTTGACACTTTCCCAGCAGCTGGCCACAGGCTCTGAACATCTTTCTGAAGGAGGTCAGGAAAAGCATTGTGGCCAAGCCTTCCTACCTTTGGCCTGGCATGTTAGCTTTGGTGGTCTGACATCTGTGTTTCGTAAACGACATCTGTGTTTCATTAAACGTGTCTAGTTGTGCTTAATGTCACACCTGTCAGTGGTCCATCTCAATCCTCATATATCATCAGCCTCCTCCCATTGTCATGTTCAAATGACCTTGGAAAATTTATCTAGCAAGGAGCCTAGGAAAAACCTATAAAGAACAGGAAAGGCATCTTTGTCACTGCAAATTTGGCAAAGGTGCTGCTAAGTTTTCTGTCCACAGCTGGTTCATAAGGGTGGGACACTATACACTTTTCACTGGCTGTGTTGTTATTTATTCATAAAATTGTCACTGATCCAGGGCAGATCCAGAGTCTCCTGCCCTGATCTGAGGTGAAGGCATTGTGAAGGGACAAACAGCTGAAGAGAGGATCAGATTTTCTTCCTTTCTAAATGCCTGAGCTCAATCCATTCACTCCCTCATTTAAAGCACGCACAAGGTCAGAGTGAGACTGTGATATGTAGAAAGTAAAGACGTTAAACCAGTGACAGCAGAGTAATTACTGCTTCCAAGCCTGATCCTCAAAGGCTCCCTGAAGCACCCTCATAAATCGAGTTAATGGAGGGAGAAGATGGAGGAGACCTAAAGAGACTCCTGTGGCTTTGTTCTGGTAGCAGATGCCGTCTTGCCTCAAGGAGACCACTTCGGTGTTCTTGAAAAGGCAGGAAAACTTTCTGCGGTATCATCTCCCTCTCAGCCTCCTCCCAGGCTGAGTTTGCTACTCTGTCCCCAGCCTGGTAGACAACGTTGCTTCTATTGCATGTCTGTCTTGAGCAAAAACTGTTACTATTTGGTGAAGTGGCTTTGCTGCCTAAAATAACCTGGTGTATTAAATTAATGCATTTATTTACACTTAATATACCTAAAGGATGTGCATCTATTATTTCAAAACATTAGTGATTGACAAAAGGCAATCAGTTATTTACAAAGTACTTCGCAACAGAGCTGTGAAGCAGTGCTGCTCTAGAGCCTGATGTCACCGTGAGGGAACCACAGTGCACCTGGAAAAGAAATCTCGTGATGTGGAATAGTGTTGTGAGAGTGCACAACCAGCTCACAGTGAAGGACATTTTCTTTCCGTGGATTTAGGAAAGCAGAAGCTGTCGGAAGCCCCCAGTGGAGAACTTTAGTGGAAAATAGTGCTGCTGGGTGGAAAATCGTGGCCTACGGATGCTAGCATAGAGTGAGATTGGTTAGTGAAACCAAGCAGGAGAGAGCCAGAGACAGCCCAACACCCTGTTTGAAAAAACAGTGGGTTTAGTTTCTGATCCTGTTGGAATTAAATATGGTCCAAAATCAAGTGGAAGACAATATTTGGAATCTTGTCCTGGAGGAAAGGGTGAACTGTCCTTCCACTTGGTTTACTTTTATATTGTAAGGCTGGAGAGCCTGTCACTTCTCCTAAGGCAGCTGCAGAGAGGGAATGAGGGCCCAACAATCTACCTCAGCAATTGTTTTTGGTGCTAGGAATTAACAGGATCTAACAGTTTTCTGTAGTACCTTAAAAAGGTTGGGTTTGCCTAGTTTCTACTGCATACAGTCGTTCCCATATGTATCTGCAGTACCACCCACAAAGCAGCCAAGAAAAATTATGGGTTTCTCATTCAAGCACCTGGGTTTTCTTACAGTCTTTCTCCCGTATTTGTGAAATCCCACAGAAGTGGCAACTGACTGTTAAACATGAACTGTAAAAAGGGCTTAGTTTCTTTAAGACAGATTTCTCTCTTAGATGCCAGAAAATAAGTTGGGTTTCCATTTCACAGGCACGTCCCCTTTCCAAGCAGGTTGGAATTAATCTGTTGCAGATGAATTTGCTAACAGAAGTGAGAAGCTGATTGGCAAGGCAATGTGTTAACATGCATATATGTCTCACATCTGTATGTTCCCCTCACACGAGCTCTTGGTCACTCGCCCTCTGTGAACTACCGTGCCCTCCCATCCCAGAGCCCAGAGCTTCCCTTCCCTCTCAAATCAGGACAGTGAAGGTGGGGACGAGCATGAGGGCTTGGGAGCAGTCAGGGTGTACAGGAGTGACTTCCAGTTCCCTGGGCTTACACACAGATCACATCTCTGTCCTTACCAGTACAGGACAGCCGCTCGCCATGCATTGACAGTTCCTGTGAGTAATCCTCTTTTACATTACCTGAGCGTCAGTCATTCAGCACTTCATGCAGGGACCATTTTGGCACCAGAGCACCTGTTCTCAGAGTCCTTCCCAGTCCCTAGCAGGAGCGGTCATCACAAACAAAGCCTGGGTGCTGGCTGTCTTCTGCCTTCTCCACCGAGTCAGTGAGCCAACTTAAGGGCTCCCTGAATAGGGCAGAAAAAATTCCTGGGCACACAATGCAAAGCAATGGCTGTGCTCTCCCTGACATTTGAAATCCGTCAGAAGGACTGATTACCTTTGTACTGGCAGACCCAGGGAGTATCTGTCCTGCAGCCAGCGTACAACCAGCATCAGGTCTCTAACAAGTCATCTGACTGATTTGACAGAAATGCAATTCTGCCTGTATCTGATCTGGTTCAGATGAGATACAGTAGCACACAGATCTGGTATCAGTTTTTATGAAGCCACAGCCTTTTGACCAGACTAGACTTGGGTTTACTTTGTTTTCCTCAGCTTTACTAGATTTTACTGTCTGTTTAGTTGTGGATCTAAATTTCTGTTTCTGCAGCCTGGAGGCCACATCTGAGTGCTTTAGCATTTGTGCACCAGCTGCATTAGAAGAGAAGGTCTGTCTTAGAGGTCTTTTGTTTGTACCTTTAAGACTGCACTTGACAAACTCTTTTAAAAAAGCCTGGGAATTTATATCACAGAGTCAATACAAACTGAAATGCCAGAAGTCTAAGATGGGTTTCAGTATTAAAAGGCTAACAGAACGGGCTTAACTGAAAGTTAAACAAGTGTAAGGACTTCTTGGTGGAGGGAAAAAAAAGGTGCAGTGACAACAGCAGATGGAGCTATTGGAAGCTTAAAATGTGTCTGTCCTCATGGGGATGCAAAATATTCTCAGTTCAACACTGAAGAACTTGCACCTGATATGTGTTATTTCCTACTACAAATGCTCCTGCTACATGTATGCTCCAGAACATTATCATCAGTGTTTTCTGTGTTCATGATAGCCAGTAGTGTAGTACCTGCCTGCTTTCTATTGTT